ATATATATATATATATATATATATATATATATATATATATATATACACATATACACACACACACACTCACACATACACACACACCCACATACATTAGAATAGCAATAGTCTTGCTATCCCACTTTTGGGGTTGACTGCTCCACTCAACTATTCGGGATTAACAACTATGTTATCAACCCACTGCCAGTTTTTCCTTTATAAATTGTCAGTCTATCTTAATGTGTAGTGCTGTTATGTTGCACAGGATTATGGGCAATATTGATTGTGGATTTGTAGTCACAAGACAATACCATATTACCTTCAAACCTTATCTTTAAATCATCTAAGGATATTTTAGTTGGAAATAGGAATGTTTGAGGGATAGGAACTCCTTTAATGTTTATTTTTCCAAGTTGCCTTGATACTTGGTATGTATAGTTAGGTTCAATGCATCATAAGAAGTAGTGTTATCTTAATTTTTTTCTCTTGTAAATTGTTTTGGCATTAATTATCTTTGTTGAATATAAATTTATCCATTCCGCTGGGAAGAATTATCACTCAAGCATATTCAGAAAATATTTGTTTTTCTCTTTTTAACATGGTATCAGATCTCCGGATTTGACAGGAGCTCTGCTTCCACAAGAAAAAAACATCTCTGTAGAAGGTTTGACTGGGCTCCTGAAGCTGTCAAACATTAGAAAATACAGCTTAAATTTTCTGGTGACATTTTCTAGTAACCGTCAAATATCCTGGTCACTTTCTGCTGCCTTCAGGCAACTGCCATTTTTTCTGGTGACCTTTCCAAGGACTTTCTGAGTTTTCTAGCATTTTTTCCTGTCACCATCAGGACTTTCCGGACAGTATTTTTTGACCTGTTCTACCATCTACTAATTTGTCCCAAAGTTCATTTTGCTCCCATTTTCTGGTGCTGTTCACTGTTCTTCGTGAACAGCACCAGTTTTTCCCCATGCAAAAAGCTGATTGTCTCTCTTCTCTGTCTTTGTTCACTATGGAAGAAAATCCATCAGGTACCTGGACTTCAGCATATTCAGGTATGCTTCTTTCATTTGGATTTAATGTCTCAAAAGCACTCCCACCCCATTGGGTTCTCAACTCTTGAGCCACACAAACCATATGATCCCATCGTCTTAATTCTTTTCCACCTATTCTCAGTGTCCCAACAGTAAGAAAACAGTCACTGTAGGTGACACTCTTGTAATTGTAGCTGGTATAGGAAACATCAAAATAAATCCCTTCAAAAATTTACTGGCATATCTTGCATATTTATTTTTCATGTTCTAAAGTTGTCCAAAAATCTTATCTGATTACAAGCTTACGAGTGACATCTTTAATTGTTATTTTTTTTTATAATAATTGTGTATTTCAATGCAAGGAATTAGAAAGGACCATTGGACGTGCTAGATAAGGGAATGACCTTTATCTTCTTGAGGTTCCATGTGTGCTCATTGCAGTTAAAAAAAAAAGCCTTATTCCTTCATGTCAGTGTCTCTACTGTCAAAAAAGGGAAAAGTTTACTCTTTCATTATCGGTTAGGACATCATTTTTTTTTTGAATAAGGTATAAAGGAGTATTTTATTGATGATTGTACCTAGGGAAGTTGGTGGGAAGATGTCTATCATGCCCAACTTGGTAACTTGATATTCAAAAGGTTGCCTTAGGCCCTTGGTTAAGACATCTGTAATCTGCTGAGTGGTTGAAATAAGTGGCTTGCATATTATTCCTTCTTCAAGCTTCTCCTTGATAATGTAAGACTATATTATTAACTATATTTATTGCAGCCTTGTTATCGCAAAACAACTGCATAGGAAAAGTTGCTAGTTTTTTTTTTACTACTTTTTTCATCCAAAGAACCTCATATCCCTTGAGCCATTGAACTGAAGTTACTGAACTCAGCTTCAGCACTGCTCCTAGCAACAATGATTTGTTTTTTACTCCTCGGTGACAAGATTACCCCATAGGAAGGTGGCATATCCCGATGTTGACCTTCTATATATAACAGATCTAGCCCAATCAGCAAAAGTATATATACTGATGTTGACCACTTTTTTCAGCTTTTTTGAGGAGACCTTTTCCTCTTGTGCCCTTTAGGTACCCAAGAATTCTGTAAACAGTCTCAAGATGTTCTTCATGTGGGAAATGCATAAATTGATACACCATGCTTATAACAAAATCAATGTAAGGACAAGTATGAGACAAATAAATAAGATGGCACCTTTTGATCAGGACCCTTTTTGGAATCTTCAACTCTTCCATCCAGAAGATAATATGTACAACAACCCTATCTGTTTTAGCATTTCGAATAGTTTTTCCTGTGGCAAGATCCTGAATGAAATGAAAGTAAAAAAATGTTGCAACACTTTGATGTGAGCAATGTCTAATTCAACCATACAAAATCTGACTTATAAGGTAAGGACTTTCCAAGCCTTGTAAGGACTACATTAGCCACATATCTAGTTGATGTGGGAGTAAACACAGCCCTCAAGGCTGCAATTAAGGTAGCCCCCCAAAGAAGTTACAACTAAGGCGGGTTAGGGATGACTGTAATTAAGGTGACTTTCCAACACATTCCTTCACACTAGATGGGCCTGGAGTGTGGCAATGCAAGTGACCGAACAATGAATTTAGGATAGGCTCTAATGCCAAGTTGAAATAAAACATTAAAGAGGAATAATGTAAATATTATTGCTTGATTATAAATACAATCATGAATCTACATGTATAGGCCAATAACAGGAAATTGGGAAATATAATCTCCTAATAATTACAGGCAATCAATTTCTGTCCTAAATTAGTAATAATTATAGGAAAAATATTCGCTCTAAATTAATTACATATTTACAACATAGATCTTTAATCAAATTGCATAACGACTCTACTGAATGGCTGGTTTAATGAATCTTTTCTTATAGCCTTTTAACTAAAATTACCTGTCACTGACAGGTTTACAAACGCAGTTATGATATCTGCATGCACCTATATGAGAAAGAGCTGCTGACAGAAGACTCGTACCTTCATATATATGGGTTTGTTACCTTCTCTGTTGCCAATCTTTTATTACTTCAGAATTCTTTATCTGTAGCAACTGTTCCAAATTACATGCATTATTTTTATTACATTTCTGCCTCTTTTATGTAGAGCATGAATTTTGTAGTTTTTGCATTGCATTTAAATTTTCTATACAGGTTGCGAGGAGCTGGTTTTAATGCTCAACAGCTTGCTGTTGTTTCAGTAAGTTGCTCCCTGACTTTATTTGTATCACTTATCTTTGCTTACATACACAAGGAATAAATGTATGTTTTTCTATTGAATACCATTTTGCTGTTCATAAGGGTAGCCCTCAGCATTGTTGTCAAAATCACAATTTTACTTACAATCCTAGAATCTACAATCCTACAAGTTTTGGATGGCTTCTGTTCTTGGTTCAGTGAATGATTGCTTCAGAATGGGATCATATGAAGACCGATGAGCAAACTTGCTAGCTTGTGAGATCTCGTGTTTGTGCAAGTTGAAGACTCACAATTGTGCAGGTCAGGTTGCATGATCATGTACAGCAAAAATCCATATTTTTGGGTATTTTGATCTAAACTGATCTTCCCCTTCAAGCAATGCCACACTTCTTCCACTCAGCTGACTGATGCATGTCACGACACCTTTCCTCTCTCACACAGCATGACACTTCTCTGTTATATCTCTGTAGCCCTGTTAGCCTGTTTCAGTTGGAAACCTCATTATCTTGCCCACCTCCAAAAAAATGCAAATAGAAAAAGAGATCAATCTCTTGTTAGTTGCTTGAAATCGTAGGTTTTTTCCTTGGTGAATGCTACGGTGGAGAAGCTTCTCATATGATCCACCAGTGTACAAGCCTAAAATTTGCTACAGTAATTTAATTTTTAATTATGTATTTCTTAATCATAGTAAAATTACTATCAAGTCCCTGTTAAATTCTTTTTCCTACAGAGGTGTTTAACACAATACTCCCATTCTTAGAATGCGGGTTATGTGCCTAATTCAACTCTACAAAATCGACTTGTAAGGTGAGGGTTGTCCCCTACTTATATACTCATTAATTGTTTTATCTCTAGTTGATGTAAGACTTGGATATTTCTCAATATACACCCCCTCCCGTCTAGTACTATTGAGCTTGGTACATTGATCTAGGATAGGCAGGAGTTAGGTTTTTCCCAATACACTCCATGCCTAACACTATCGGGCTTGTTGCATGTATTAATGGTAGGTATTCCTTTTATAATTAGATCTAGATAACTCTAATACTATCTTAGAATGTGGGTTATGAGTCTAACTTAACTCTATAAAATTAGTTTATAAGATGAGGGTTGTCCCCTACTTATATACTCGTTAATTGCCTTATCTTTAGTCAATGTGAGACTTGGATTTTTCTCGATATCCATCACTTGTCCCTTACCCAAACCTTTCAAACACCACTGTGGCAGCCATGACAGCTGTGCGCAGTTCATTGACAGAATGGTTTCAAATTTTAAATATAAAATATTTATGAATTAATATGATTAAATTATTTTAAACATTTTCAGATTCTAACAATTAACACTGCAAACTTTAAAAAATCTCACACACCAGAACAATCCTTTTCCTTTGAGGCAGGATGCAACTGTAGCACCCTCAAACACAAGTGTAGACTACCGATCCCCATAATTCCATTGATAAAATCCACTTCGCCGGCCAACGCTACGGTGCAGATGAGAGAGTAGCATTCTTTTCCTGTTTCGCGCTCCAACATGAGATTTTTGGTGACCTGGGAGCAATGTTTTGCAATGTTCTAGAACTGTGTCAAGGAGTCTCAGATAGTCTTGAGGCGCTGAATTCTGCAGAGGGAGGTGAGCTTGATGAGGAGGTTGGCATCGAGGTGGAGAAGCTCCACCACCAGATTGTAGTGTTTGTTCGCCGCGGCACAAGCGGTGAGAGATGCATACCACTATTGCTCTCCCACCAAAGAGGCAAATACAAGGTTAAGAACGAAGATGGAGTGCAGGGTTTTAATCGGGGTAAAAATGACCATTAAATTTTTAATATAACTTTTTAGTTAATAAATTATTTCAATAACTGATATGATCTACACCATTCATTATATCAAACAATCATAATATATTGATCCATTGGTGGACTATGTTATGTAGGTTCAGTGTAGATTTTTCATGTTCCTATTGTGTTTAGTATCATATTTTGTCGAGTATACCCCATGCATACAGAGATAAAAAATACTATGTAATTATTTCCCACTATTTTTAAGGAACCAAGAGGTTACACAAGTGAAAGCTTACTCGGAAGGAAGAGGGATCATTTAGTAGTTGGTTATGACAGCTATAATTTGATGTAGCAAGAAGAGGGGGAAGAGGGAGAAGCATATAAATAGGGTGCAATTAACTGAATGAGGATTCTTCTGAACAATTGAAATACATTGTTTTACAGTTGGGAGGAAGTTGTTCGCTTGACAGAGAAATTTCTTTGGGTTTTCTGATAGGAATCCGATTTAATGAAGAACACAAAGCAATATTATTGATTGAAAAAAATAACTATTACAGAAGATGTTAAGAACTAAGAATTAGGAAAGAGAAAGAAAAGAAAGATTTTATTGAATATGTTGAAAAGAACAGAAAATAGGAGAGAAATATCTCCTCCAAGGGTTTCCCCTTCACAAAGGATTTCTCCTTTCACAAAGAGCTAATGCTCAATTTACAAATGTGAACAAATCTGAATCCTCCCCTCTACCAAGTAACCTCTTATTTATAGATGTGATGGGCCTAGCCCATGATATCTTTATAACTAATAACTATTCTAATTCCCTTTATTCTATATCCTAACAATACCACCCCCTTGAAAATCAACCTTGTCCTCAAGGTTGGAATCTGAAAACCAAAAAAAAAATGACATCAAAACACACTATAGTTGGGACTAAAGTGAAACAACACCCCTAAAAAACTACTTTTTCATAGGTTTGGGCAATTGGACCCACTTTGTAGAATTCCAAATCTACCCCTTCCTCTTTCTCATCCTCTAGAGCCAAATCACTTGCTCTAACAGAATGTGTCTCTTTGTTGTCTACCCATGATGGATCAGCAACGAACCCTTTGGCCACTGCATACAAACCCATGTCTGGCGGCTTTGGTGGTAGTGGAGATGGTGGACTTCGTATAACTTGAATCACAATTGTTGCCTTCGTACTTTCCTTTTGCCTAGGCTCCTTTGTCCTGTTGTCATCCATAGATGCAACGATGTTTAATGATGAAGGCTCGCCTAGAAAGTGGTCTTCCCCACCACATATAGTGTTGTTTTTGATGATTGAAACTTCTTTATTTCTGTTTTCTAACTTCAAGAATTGCAACAGGTTACTGTTACACCTTAGACTGCTACCCTTCATGTTAATTCTCTGTTCTATGCTTCCATCAAAGGTGGGTAACTCAACTTGTTTTTCCCAAGAATGCACCAGGTCACCTCTGCAATCTGACTCACTGCCTTTGGTATTTTCTGCATTTT